TATTTTAATTGATAAATAGAGACAATAAATGACTGAAACCCAGGAATTAATTTTGATTTGGAATTGAAACACAGTCAGGAAAGTATGTACAATTATCTACAACTCTGCCATGGAACGTTTCAAGCTAGAAGGTCACGTTTCGCCGCAAATCAGAAAAAAACCGTTTTAAACCCCCAAATCGCATCCCCATTTAACCACTGCCAGTGTTTTCACGTTTAAAATTGTATTTTTCTTAAAGTTGGACGTTCATAACATTTTCAACCTGGTCTGATCCGTGCCTGTTATTAATGTTTTTTTCAAAAAAAATGTTGCTCTATCCTCTTTCGCTCCTGAAATGACTCAACGTTAACGTTTTTGCACAAAATTGCTCTTACCTGGGGGAATTGATGGAGGTCCCGATATGTAATCTGGCAGGCGATCAGCGTCAGTAGATAGAAAGAACAAAACGCCCAGCTGATAAGAGAGCAGTGCTTCAATGGGAGCGGCATCGTAACGAAGATCATGAAGTTGAAAATGAGAGCCCAGCCCAGGTTCTCACGCACAGTCGATTGGGTTCCTCGCAGGAACGCAGCAGTGCCCAATTGGCAAATGACGAAGAGCGAGCAAACCAGGGCTATCCGAACGTTGGCGGTATCAGTCTTGAAGATGGCCAACTTGCTCAAAACCAGGGCACCCACGTAAACGATCAAGTAACCGATGCTGACGATGGAGTTGCAGGTGTTCGAAACCTGCAAAAACTGCCTTGTTTAACCAGCTCCCAATACGTCAAGGCTTTGAATGGAATGGAATGGAATGGAATAAAGGCTGTCAATTCTCGCTGAATTGTAATCGGTTGTTGTCGAACGAGGCAGTTTGCATGCGATTATTGATTCTCTTGTCCGATGGACGTTTATTATGCATCCTGCCCAAAGCACATTATGGAATGTTTTCATGCATTTACCCTAAAGGCTCGAGTTAGCAAATTGGCTTTATCGTCATTAATCTATGGCTCTATTAATAGCTGATTTATTAGCCAGAGTGTTTGGATAATTTGCTTAAACAGTATCCTGCGGAAGAACGATGGCAGATCTGGAATTTGCAGGTTTTATTGAAGATTTTTTAGAAGATTATGACTAAAGAACTCCTTTGCCTGCTATCGAAGGTCTGTTTCGGTAAAAACTGCACCATCAGAGCTTCATCAGTAACGTTACGTGAAACACGTTTCTGCTTCAAAGTTGCCAAATCGAATCGAGGCAAAAAACCCAGCTGCTTATTGAGAAAGTTTCGTCTGCATCAGGCCTCTTAATGGCCATCTTTTCTGATCTGAGTTTAAAATAAGCTGTTGCTCAAGAATGCATTTTGCAGAACGACAAAGCGCACAAAAAGTCTCGTTTCGGTGTTGAAGTTGCAAAAACTCGACTATGAAATCAAGAAGGTTTGCCATCTGAAGGCCATCATCAGGTTTGCTTAAAGAAGTATTCGCCACTGAATGACTTAAAAAAATCGTTTTAAGCGCTATTGCTCAAGGCTACATTTCTACAAATTCAAAAAAGCGAAAAATATTCGAATTTTTGGGTTAAGCTCCTGATAATCGAGTCCACGAATCTTGAAAGTTTCCTCTCGGAGGCATCATCAGGCGATTTTGCCAAAAAACGACTAGGATTGAAACTAATCATCAGACGCCCGGCTGAACTGTTAAATGCTGCGAAGCTCCAAACAGCATAAACTGAGAAATTTTTGTGTTAAAGTCAAGAATATCTAACGCGCAGCCTGAACATTTCGCCTAAAGGTCATCGTCAGGTTGCTTAAAAAATCTTCGCCACTGAATGACTTAGAAAACATTTTAAGCGCTGCTGCTCAAAGATACATTTCTACATTTCTCCAAGCCCAAAAAAGCCAAAAATTTCAAATTTTTACGATAATCTCCTGATAATCGAGTCCACAAACTTTGAAAGTTTCATCTTGAAGGCATCATTAGGCGATTTTGCCAAAAATTTCGGGTTGACCAAAGAATGAATAGATTTGAAACTAGTTCTCCCTAGTCTCGTTTCGGTGTTGAAGTTGCAAAAACTCGACTATGAAATCAAGAAGGTTTGCCATCTGAAGGCCATCATCAGGTTTGCTTAAA